CTTCAGGCAATTTCAGAACATTACTTATGCCTAAGCAGCCATCGGTAAGGTCATTTTACAACTTGTTATCACCTTTTTGACCTCTTCGATGATCAGTGCCATCCCTCCCCCAACTCCCAAATTAAAAGCACATATTAAAAAAATAACAATCAAACATCTAGAGTCCTGTATCTGAGCTCCTTTGCTGGAGCCAGTTTTAGAGCCGCACAGCACTCTTTTTCAAACTGAAATTGAGAACAGTTCAGTCTCCTTCCTTCTTGTCTGAAGAAGGAATCTGTACAAGCTGAAATTCTGCTTCTCTAATGAACAAAACTGGCCCCTTGGAAGCCAGCTGGTTACAACCTGTTGTATTGGGTTGGTTGAACAACTGAGGTATCTAAAGGAAGAGTACAACATTCCTCCTGATTTTCGTATGTAAAGCTAAGGCAGTGGTTAGACTATGTCTGGTCTTTATTGAACATTTGGGCAGATCTGTTTACAGGGAGGTTATATGGCAGCATTCATCCTGATCTGCTTGTGAGGTGTTCATCCAACCCTTTTTGATGCATCCCCTCTTCACTTTCCAAATTGCCCAAAAGAAAATATATCATTTTTTTTAGTGAATTTGTTTCACTAACAGAGCACTTGAATCCACTTTAAATGTACCAGCTGTAAATTCTGGCACACTTAAAACCTTCCTAAAAATAGTGGTGGTCTGGAGGCACCCGAGGTATATGTCAAGAATTAAAATTTGAGCTATATGGGGAAGCAACAGTTAGGGATGGAGGAGAAAGTCAATTCAGTACTTACTAAAAGCTGAAACGATCAGATTCAGACTTCCCTTTTTTAAAAAAGGCAATCTGAAACACAGCTGAAATTTGCACTTAGCCTCAGTTTGTGATGCAGTTATACAACCAAACAATATTTACAAAAATGCATTTACTGGGGAACAGCGTGTGTGAAAATGAAGATATTAGTGAAAATAACACACAAAATGCACTATATTGGGGTGATGACTTGCAAAAATGTATGTATTAGTCAAAACTACATATAAAAATGTGTTCATTACAAGAAATTTGCACTAAAAATATGATGATTTTTTTTATTTAAAAAATGCAAATTGCTTACAAAATGTGGAGAACTGAATTTAAGATTGGAAAAATGAGAAACTCCCAGACTTTCTGACAATTAAGAGCTGTTTGACTGTGAAATGGAGTACTTCAGATGGCTGTAGACTCTCCTTCGTTGGAGGTTTATAAATAGAGGTTGGCTGGCCATCTGTCAGGGATTCTCTAGCTGTGATTCCTGCATTGGGGGGGGTGGACTAAATGACCCTTTGGGGTTCCTTCCAACAATTCCTAGAATTCTATGACTCTAAGGTAAAAAAGAAAAAAGAAATGTGTACGCAAAGATAAAACATGTATTTAAATACACATTTTGTGATTTTACACACACACACACAGAGAGAGAGAGAGAGAGAGAGAGAGAGAGAATATAATATTTGTAAGGATTAAAAAACCAACAACAACAACCCAGAGGTTAATACAGAAAGAGGATAGAAAGGGCTTACAAATGAACTTGTGCAAAATGAATGCAAACCATAATTCGACTGAGTCGCCCATCTACAACAAGAGAGCAAAGTTGTGGCTTTAAGCTTTATAACTGCATGAGGATGTTGGTTTGCAACGGGCCATTTTGGGCCATTTTGGTGAGAGGCTGCATTGCAAAGACGCCCCTCGCCAGGCTTATGGGGGCGATGGGGCATGTTTCAGTCTGCGCGACTTTGAAGTACGTCTTCCCAGGAGGCATAACAATGTCAAGCTTCATAACCCAGGAGTTCGTTCACTTGCTTCCTCTTCTAAATGGATCATAATCTGAAACATGCAAGCATTTCCACTTTTATCAAGCGAGGCCACTAAACAAGATTATGGCTGCAACCTGCAAGCTTTACGGCCTCTGTATATTCAGAGAGACGAGCTTTATTAACATCGACTGTAAACAGGCCTGACTCATTATGGAATCGTTGAGCCTCTTAAAAAAATGAAAGATCTTAATTTGCGTACCAGGCCTCGGGAGCCCTTTGGGGAAGGAAGATGAAACACAACTGCCTCAAGAGAGTCTGCACGCCATCCTTTTCCCAACCTGGTGCCCTCCAGCAATTTTGGTCTACAACTTCCAGCATCATGAAGGACCCCGAGCCATCACTGCTTCCTGTGGGAGCAAATTCCATAGCTTAAGTGTGTATTGTGTGAAGAAGTACTTTATTCACTCCTTCTTCATAGAAGGGACAGGGGGAGTATCAACTGGGAACCTTCAGGATGCTGGGCCCTGAAGCCTACCCAAGGATGTTGTGTGCTACTGTCCAATTCACATACCTAGAGAAGTGTAGCATCCAGATCCAGGGAAGTAAGATCACAGCTCCACTCTGCCTGGAGTCTTGTGTCCAGTTCTGGGCACCACAGTTCAAGAAGGATATGGACAAGCTGGGAGGTGTGCAGGGGAGGGAGACCCAGATGGTAAAGGGTCTGGAAACCAAACCTTATGAGAAATGGTTGAGGGAGTTGGGTGTATTTAGCCTGGTGAAGAGAAGATTGAGAGATGATATGATAGCTATCTTGAAATATCTGAAGGGCTGTCACATGTATGAAGAAGAAGAAGAAGAAGAAGAAGAAGAAGAAGAAGAAGAAGAAGAGGAGGAGGAGGAGTTTGGATTTGATATCTCACATTATCACTACCATAAGGAGTCTCAAAGCGGCTAACATTCTCCTTTCCCTTCCTCCCCCACAATAAACACTCTGTGAGGCAAGTGGGGCTGAGAGACTTCAGAGAAGTGTGACTGGCCCAAGGTCACCCAGCAGCTGCATGTGGAGGAGCGGAGACGCGAACCCGGTTCCCCAGATTACGAGTCCACCACTCTTAACCACTAATCCACACTGGCTCTTGGAACCCTTGTCACCCAGAGAAAGTGGTGGACTCTCCTAGTTTTCAATGATGGAGCAAGCTTGTGTTCTGGTATTCCAGAGGGTAGGACTCAAACCAATGGATTCAAATTTCAGGAAAGGAGATTCCGACTAAACATTAGGAAGAACTTTCTGACAGTAGGAGCTATTTGACAGTAGAACGGACTCCCTAGGGAAGGTGGTGGGCTGTTTTTCACTGAGGATTTTAAAGCAAAGATTGGATGGCCATCTGCCAATAATTATTTACCTGTGATTCCTGCACTTCAGGGAGTTGGGCTAGATGACCATTGCAACTCTACAATTTTATGGTTCTAGAATTTTAAGCTTCCTTAAAATTGCACATGCAGAGCTCTGGATCAGTACACAAATATGAAGCATTCAGAAAACCTCGAACTCCTAACATCAGGGACTTGCTATAGAGCCCGATTCTGAGGGACCGGAGTCCATGCTGGATCAGCAAATCAGGGCTCTTGGGTTGAAAAGATATAACCAGAGAGATCCACGATTTTGCAACACTATTTTGTCCTAATTTGTTCCCCACCCCTCCCCAAATCAAATATTTTATGTTAGGTGCTGTGCTATTCTTGCCTAGTCAGAATCGGATTGCTTTGTCAGAAAAAAATGCTTTTCGTCTATCTTTTAGAAGGGTGTGTGTGGTTGTTGTTCTGGCTTGAATAACCATCATTCCTGACAATGACTCTGTGTGCATGTTTCATGAAATACCCAAAGCTCTCTTTTCATTATGAAAGATCAGTACAGTGGTGCTTATGATGTATTTAGGTCATCTGTTACTGAATATTTCTACTGTCAGTACAACAAAAAGTGTGATGATCACAGTTAAAGCTTAACAAAGAAAATGCTGTCAGGCAATTAGTCAGCTGAAGTCAGCAGTACAAAAGTGGAAATATATCATGTTTGGGGTAGCACATTAGTTTGCTTGTGATAAAAATGTTGAAACGGGACCCTGTACACAAACAATATCTTCCCCTTTCTGTCTCACCAGAGATGGAGAACTTTTGCAACTGCTGAAGAAGGGATACATATTCAAAAATAGCCTTTGAATTCTTTACTATTCTTTCCAAATGGCCTTGGTCCCCCTCACCCACCTGAGCATCCAAGATGGTTTTGCATGAATTAATTGCAACACAATTGGCTTTTTGTTGGGGGAAAGGTAACATCATCCTGGCAGGAATGAACCTTGCATGGCAAAGAGCTACTTTTCTTGTGGGTGAAAGGCTGGAGGAGAGGGAATACCATGAATGGAAGAGAGGGGAGGAAAATGTCTGGATACAGGCAAATGGATTTGCTTCCAGCGGTTCTGATCTAGAGCAACAATAAATCCCAGTCTGACTATTTGTCCCCCCTATTAATGTGTTTCATCCCCTTCCTCTTTTTTGGTCAGAAAAGTAGCAGCTTTTTCCAAGCCTGTCAACTTTTCTCTTTTAACTATTGAAAGAGAGTGAGGGAAAGTAAGAGAGAGAGAGAGAGAGGTACTAAGAATAGAATTAATCCCTCAAATTGTGTATGGGTGTTCCACTGCACGAAACTCCTTTGCCTAAAAAGTTCATTCGTTCCCTACCTGTTAGAGATGGACTCAGCCCACCCTATATTTCCTCTTCACACAGTGCATAGTCAAAATACAGAACTTGTCCCCAAAAGAGGCAGTGATGGCACTTGGATGGCTTTAAAAGAGAACTGGACAAGTTCACGGAGGAGAAGGCTGTTAGGTGCTACTGGTCACCATGGTCATGTTATGCCTCCACGGTCGAAGGCAGAAATGCTTCTGAATACCTGTTGGTGGAAGCCATGTGTTGAAAAGGTGCTTTTGTGCTCAGGTTCGGTGGGTTCCCCATGCAGTTTCCAATGAGCAGCTCATTGGCCACTCTGAGAACAGGATCCTGGACTAGATGGGCCATTGGTCTGACCCAGCAAGCTCTTCCTATGTTTTCTACATTGTGAATGCAGCCTTACTTGCTGAACAAACATGCAGAGGGTCACATTTCCAAAGGTGTGTTCAGGGTTAGACTTTGGTGGGAGACGAGTGCTTGCTGTGAGGTGGGGGGAGTGCTGTACTTCAGAGGGAGAGCATCTGCTTTGCACTCAGAAGGTCCCAGGTTCAATCCCCGGTATCTCCAGGTTGGGCTGGGAGAGATGCTTTGACTGAAACGTTGGAGAGCTGCTGCCACTCAGTGTAGACCAGGGTTTCCCATACTTGGGCTCCAACTGTTTTTAGACTACAACTCCCATCATCTCTGCTAGCTAGGGATGATGGGAGTTGTAGTCCAAAAACAGCCGGAGGCCCGAGTTTGGGAAACCCTGGTGTAGACAATGCTGTGCTAGATAGGACAATGTTCCGACTGGGTATAAGTCGGGGGGGGGGCTGCCTTTAGGCATAAAGCACAAAGTAATTTAGTCACCTCTACCCAAAGAGCATTTAGTTCCTTCTCGCAGGAGCTGCTCCATTAATGCATCCCATAAGGACAAATGCTTTCTTCCACTTGGCATGCGCCACAGATACTTGAGCACTGACCGACCTGCACACAGCTGCGCACCGCCTGCTCCGCAGCTTGGGAAAAAGCTGTGATATCCACGTTAGCTAGCCAGCAGCCAGATGTCAAGGGAAGCCCCCCTCCCCACCCTGCTTTCCAACATTGTTCTTTTCATAGAAGGAGAAAGAATGGTCTCCTGGCCAGCCGGCCACCAAGCCTTGGCCGACCCATATTCACAATAAGGGGTTGGGGGAGAAATTCAGTTCAGTTCGTCTTCAAAGGCTAATTTGCACTTTCCAAATCAATATGATAACCGAAACTCAGCCATCCTTTAAAATACATGCTTCTCTGTTTTATTCCATGTAGTTCCCCAGACAAGTAATGAGATTTTTTAAAAATTGCATACACTAAGATACAACATGTGCAAACAAATGCATTGTGTTAGAGAAAATATAAATATTAGAGGTTGGGGGGGTGTATATTAGATGAATTTGTACCTAAAATGTGTATATGAGAAGGCATTCACACTAAAATGCTGTGAATTTTCATGTTTTTCTTCTTTTTTTAATGTGGAGATTGGGGAGTTATGATTGGGGGGAAACAGGAACTGAGAGAAATTGAAACTGACGGATTTGCCTATCGCTTCCTTGAAAGCCTTGGAGAACCCTTAGCCCCACCCCCTGGTTTGTGAATTCCCCCTGGGTGGCAAAATGGCAAATTGGTCCAATCACAGGATGTATAGATTGGAGTCACAGGGCAGATCAGGGGTCCATGTAGTTACATGGGATTTGGCCTTCTGATGGTGCCCCAGTCTTTTAGTGTGGCAGCACCTGCACTTTGGAACTCCCTGCCTATTGATACCAAGCAGGCACCACCACTGTAATTGTTTTGGCACCTGCTAAAAACAATTTTGGATAGACAAGCCTACCCAGAGCTGATGTGAGCCTTGATTTGGTTTTAGTTTGTTGTTATCTTAACTTCTCATATATCAAAAATTGTTAAGTTTCCATAGTGATAATTTTATTGCTTTATCCAGTGCTCTCTTTTTTTCTTAAAAAAATGTTTTGGAGTACTCTCATTTTCCTACTCATATTGAAATACTGCCCCTCAGTGAGGCCAAACTTAAGTTCACAAAATGTTTAGGGGTATGCATACCCCGGCGTCCCCCCAGGAAAAAACACACACACACTGGCTTTACCTTTTTTGTAAGCCGCTTTGAGGTATGTGTGGTTTTTTTATATAATTAAGTGGTGTATAAATTTTATAAAATACATTAAAAAAAAAATGTAATGTGACACACACACACACACACACACACACACTGTGATTGACTTAAATTGACTTAAAACAATGCATAAAACTGTGGAATGGAACAATTTGAATTAGGGTTCCAGAGGGCAGGAAGAACTTCAACCTCTCATTGGAGGGAGGGGGCCGACTGAGTTTGGTTTGAAGGAAGGCAGGGAGCCCAATGGTAGGCGGAGCCAGAGCCAACGACAGGAAGAGCTAACTAAGTCTGCTTCTGTCACTTCCTCCCTGCTGATCAGCACTGACAGACAGCACCACCCACTGGACTGGTAAGGCAGCAGGCAGGTGGGGGCAGATTGGGCTTGCTGGGGCAGTGCCCCCATTTGGCACCACTGTTGACAGCATCTACTGTAGCCATTAGTCAAGCCATTTCTTAAAAGCATCCCTAGCCTGCAGATTCACTTTTCCCACAATTTGCAAAAAGAAACAAAAGGGGCCATTTTTAAAAAATTATTTTTATTCTTGCTTTCCTCCCTGACTAGTTAGCAATTTTGCATTGGGTGCAAAATTACTATTGTCCAAAGATGACTTGATATTTTGTCCACCCTAGTATGGAGAGAGAGGTGGAAAAAATCTGATCCTTCTTTTCTATACGAGGTATTTCTTTCTCAGGCAAGGAGGATGGAGATCAATTTGTATACTTAGTGAGGCTGCCTGCAGTGAAAGTAATTCTCTTCCCAATAAATCTCAACACTGGACAGAAATTCCAATAGAGAACCAATATGGTTTCTATCTTTGCTCCTCCTGTATTTAATATGTAGCTCTGCAGCTTGTGCAGCTTGGGAGACTGAACTGGGACAGAAGAACAATTTGTGTCTAATTCTTCGAGACTATCCTATAGCAGGAGAGCATCCTCCCTTCTCTATGAGGATGGGCTACAGTTCAGTAGGAGAGAACCCCTTTTGCATGGGGGCATCCCAAGTTCAATCCCTGTCTTGTCCAGGTCAGAATCCTGAAATCCTGGAAAGCCACTACCAGTCAAATATATTGACAACAGAGAGCTATGTGAGCCAATGGTTGGAGTTGGTTTGATGCAGTTTTCTGTGTTTCTGAGAGGTGATGCAGCACAACTGAACTAAGAGGGATTTACTTCTGAGAAAATGCATTTAGGATTGGCCACATGTCCATTAGGCTCCTCCTATGATGATCCAGAGCTGAGCAAGTGTGCAGTTGCTCCCGTAACCCAACACATTGGTTATTCCACAGTGAACCCCACCAAGTTCAATGGGACCTACGCACTTAGGATCACTGCCTGAACATTTCCTTCCTCCCACAGCAAGTTGGCCAGCAACCCTGTGCTTATCGATTCATGTAAAATGTGTGATCTTTAAGCATTTATGCATATTCTCAAGCCACCCACTTGGGTGTAACAAAAAGAGAAAGAGGGAGAGAGACAGTGACAACTTCCACATTAAGGTCAGAGGTCACGGTTATCGACACATGACTTTAATCCCTTTGACACTTCAAAGGCTGAGAATTGGGAGAGGCCCGCTGAGCTGAAACCCCGGAGATTAGTATTTGTCAGAAAAAGTTGATATTATTGACATTGTTGGAAGTACAAAAGGCTTATTTTATTTTACCTAATAAACGGCAAGCCCTGTTTTGTGAATAGATTTGTGTGTTTTGGCTAGTCCCTGGCAGATTTAATACGTGCCAAGATTAAGTTCAGATCACACTTGTAAAGATTTCACTGGTTCTGTTTCTTTGTAGGAGCAGATAGGTGCATAGTGCAACCCTCACCAGTTTTACTTCAAAATAAGGATGGGGGGAGAAATGTGATTCAGTTCGCATTGAAAGGCAAACCTATCTAATTCACACTTTCTGAAACAATACATGAAGCGAAAGATAGCCAACATTTGAAATTTGCTCTCTTCTGAATTTTGCAGTGTAGCTCTCCAGCTACAGAACGTGTTTAAAAATGCATATACTAAGGTAAAGTGTGCACAGAAACAATGTATATATTTGTGAAAACAACATTAAAAAATGCATTCTACTTGGGGAAATTTATTTGCAAAAATGGGCATCTTAGGCATAAGCACACGCAATATTAGGATAAATTAACTCTGAATTTTTCTTGAGAACGTTAAAAAAACCTGATATGGAATTGTTGAGAACTTAAGTTAAGATTAGAAAAATAAGGAGTTGAGAAAAACCAAAAATGGACAGATGTGCACAATCCTGGAAGCCTTCATCATCAAAGAAGAGCATTGCTGAAAGGGCCTCTGCCATGATGGAGACCCCCAGCTTGTCCCTAGAACATGGAAAGCTGCCACTGGAAGTTTCCCCACCAATGGAAGGTTGCATCAGAATGAGGAATTGAGGGGTTGGGCATGGCACTAGAGGCTTGAGGTCCTTGGATCCTCAACCTGCCTGAGTCTCAGGGCTTCAGATGAGGTGTTAGAGCCACTCCACAGCTCCCTGGCCTCTCTGTTGTTGTTGTTGTTGTTGTTGTTTGATTGATTAGTCCCATTTTGCACAAAAGGGGAGCTGAAGCAACTGGGGGGGGAATGATGCAAACATTAAAGTCAAGCATAAAAAACAAAGGAAGCAAGCAAGCAAACAAACAAACTGGAGTTAAAATGAGGAACTGAGCAAACTTGAAAAGGACTGATTTGCCCATCTCTTCTCGGAAGTAAACCCCACCAAGTTCAATGGAACTTGCCCCCTAGCAAGTGTGCTTAGGATTGCAGCCACAGCGTTTCTTTATTTCTTTCCTTCTACCCACCCAAGTTTTCCATCTTAAGAGTCTTTGTTTCTTTCGGGATTTGTAATAAACAACATAATTACATGCCTTTTTCTTCCTTGATTGAGCACATGTCTTACAAATGATGATTTACCACTTGCGTGTCGCAAAATAGACTGAATAGTCATAATTATTATGTTGGAGAGCTGAACTTTCAGATTCAGAAATGTTGTTTTAAGGAGAAGCAGCTCAAAAAGTTTGAGCACTCAGGTTGTGTTGGTTCGATCGATCTGGGTGTATAACAATTGATGCGCATGCTGTCACCCAGAGTCCTCTGTGTACCCACCACCCCGTTGCTCAATGGAAGGTGTGTGTCAAGTTGATACCTCCAACAAAGTTCTTGCCAACAGTGATGCAATTTGCTCTGGGCCTCCAAGACTCCCTACCTAGAGCAAGACCCAGGAAAGAGGGGCACCAAAAGTTATGCATTAGCAGTATTGGAAAGGGCCTAATACCGTATCAGAAATATGGTATTAGTGGCCCATATAAACTGGCACAGGCTGGTGGTTAGCAGCCATTTCTGATGATTTTGTTATGAATTTGTTTTGAACGGCATTTGTTTCCATATTGAACAGTTTGCTTTTGCTTTATTCAT